ATAGAAAATGACCTGTGATCCTTCACATAGTGTTCTGTGTTGGCACCTCCTCTTGGGGCCGTTGTGGATTCATATACATCTCATACACAGCTACGGTACAAGACTCTTTCATAACTTGACTTTACTGGCTAGAGGCGTCTTGGAAGATCCTAAGAAGCAACCCAGAGTGGGGAACTGCTATGGCTACTGTGGGACCAGCTCTGTGCAAACCTCTTCAACTGAGGGGCCGTCACAAAGGCAAATAAATACCACGGCTGCAAAAGTGTGAATAAATCTCTAGGGTGATTCATGCTGATGAATTGAGGTCAAGGATCAGGTTGGATCTGGGAGATTGTGAGTGTGCATGTGTGTATGTATATGTGTGTGGATTTAACATTCCTTGTCTCATTAAGATGTCATTTTAGGGCTATTGACATTCCGTCTGCAGCAGAACCACTGAGGCCGTTCAAGGAAGAGTGTGCAGCCAAGCCACACTCCTGATGGCTAAATTCACAACCCACCAACGGTGGCCTTTATTTGGGATCACTACTAATGTTCCATGATCACACGCACCCTTGGCTATGACTCGCCGTGTGGCAAGACAAGTGGAAATGCTGTGGGCTGGTAAAAAAAAAAAAAAAAAAAATTTGCCTTTCAAAAACAAATTATGGCTAAATTCACAACCCACCAACGGTGGCCTTTATTTGGGATCACTACTAATGTTCCATGATCACACGCACCCTTGGCTATGACTCGCCGTGTGGCAAGACAAGTGGAAATGCTGTGGGCTGGTAAAAAAAAAAAAAAAAAGTTTGCCTTTCAAAAACAACTTCTTACAAGCTGGTTAAAAGCGTTAGCTCATCCACATGCAGCTGGCTTGAGCAACGGCGGGACACCCGCCAGGAAGACCAAGGCCTAAGTTTACCCTCAGGGCCAGTGGCCTTTCCCACCCCATGCTGGACCCAGACTCTGCAATCAGAGCCTGCAGACCAGGTGGGCGCCGCGGTGGGAGGTGGGCGGAGCCATTGGGGGCACCTGTGCCATTTCAGCAGTGGCAGTGCCGGGAAAGGAGGGCGGGCGTGGGCCTCGGTTCTGTGCTTTCAGGATTGTTATGTTTCATCCTCGCGGCAGAGGGCGCTGAGGAGCGCCACCTGCACCCTGCCGATAGCCACCCCCTACTGTTCAGGAGGGCTGTAAAAGCACTTAGGAGCCTTGCTAGCGTGAAAGCAGAGATTCTTTCACTTAAGGGTTTTATTACTTATCTTTCCCCTCCATATTTATTACGGCCTTCTTCAATCTCCAGTTTTCATTTCTATGGTCGGCTTGATGTATTGCTTTCCTATTCTTGTGAACCATCACCTCTAAATTATTGACATTAATGGAGAGAAGCCTTCAAGGAGAGCAGTAATTAGATGAATTGTGCTGCATTAAAGTGCTTCATAGATTGAAAAGGGATAAAAGCAGCAGCTTTTTCTTAGTAGACTAGGCGCTCACCCAGCTGCCTTGTGGCTCATCAGACCGGCTCTGTTCCGCCTTCAGACACACCCGGGCGCTCGGGGGGCAGGGGACAGCAGCCCAGCCCACCAGCGCTGGGGCAGCCGGATGCTCACCAGAAGTCAGCTGTTTTGCTCCCAAACTTACCTATGCCAGGTGTACTCATTACCTAGCTGCATAATTAAATGTTCTGGTGAAGAGGGGGCACAAAAAAAGATGTCATGTCCACAAAATCCAAGTTAAATGCAGTAGAAAGAATTGATGAAATCAAGTCTCTAAAACTCTTGCTGGTAAACTGGGTATGGGTGAGTCATAGTTAGGCAAGAAAAGTCAAACAAAAGTGAAAGGAGAGGATCGTCAACTGTATCCTTTGCAAGTGCTCCCTCCACTGTAAGTAAACAAAAATGGAAATCAGATGCCCATTATGGGTGTGTCTTTTTGCTAGAAAGACTGCAAGGAGTGCCAATTAATGGCCTTTGCCCTACACAAAAAGACAGATGATAGTTTTATATTTACTGATTTTAATTTAAATTGAAGCAGTTAAGGTTTGGGCATAACTCCCTCCTGCCCCACCTTTGGTCAAATGTTTCAATTATTGATATGTTTCCAACTACTGGTCCTGGCCTGGTTTGTGAGCAATCCCCAAGCAAGGGCTGATTTCAAATGGGTTGCCTTTCTCCTGAAGTTTGTGCACACAAAGATCTCGCCAGTCTCTCTAAATGCCAGGGAAGGGCTGGCCTCTCACCGGCTGCTCCGGGCAGGGGCAGTTGTCGTAGGACTTACGATTGGCCAGAGGATAGTTGCCTCAGTGTAAGAGAGAGCCCCACATCGTCGGGAGCAGGGCTGATCTAGGATACCCTGGGTAGCACAGGAGCTCTCAACACCACCCCTCCATGCTCTGGGTCCTAAGGCATCAGAAAAATAGGAGCCTCCTGGTCGTGGAAAGGTAGTGTATGGTCAGGAAAGAGATGTCATCAGACAAGGGCAATGAGGGAACACAAGTCATGGTCTGTGATCTCTCCGTACAATTAGTAAACAAAACAAAACGGAATGCTCGCAAGCTCGCTAGCTAGCTCTGATTTCTTCTCAATACTTTCTTGCATTTACTACCACAGCTATTACTGCGTTTTACCACTAGAGGGCAACAGTGTTCCTAAAATGAGGGTTTGTTGCAGAACCGAAAAATCACTTAGAATCAAGGAATTTCAGAGCTGTTAAGAGGTCTTAAGAATCATTTGGTTCACTGGCTTTCAAAATTTTTTCAGCTGAAACACATAGCAAGAACTGCATACTTCATAATGACCTAGTTCATACATATATGTTTGCAACATTCTGAGGCACTACTTACCCGGTCTTCTGCAATGCACTCTCAACAGTGTGTATTCCAAACTATTTCATTTAAAACAAAACAAACAAACAAAAAACGGCAACCACTAAATAGATTTCATAACCCAATAGTGTGCCATTAGCCTGAAAAACCCTGACTTGGTCCCAGCCTCTCATCTGTAATACAAAGGAGAAGAGGATGCTATCAGCTACACTTCTCGCGCCCACCCAGCCCCCTGCTAACCCCGCGCCAGTCCTAGAGGAATGACAGATATTGTCCAGCAACTCAGTGCTCACTCTAATAATGCACTGATTGGATAAAGAGTTTTGAGGGTCTATCATTTTCCACCTCTTGTCAATGCTATGACTGCTCTTGTAATTGAAGCAGAAATTCCTTGCATTGAAGGCTCCTTGCAGGTGGTGCCTGTTCTCCTCATTCAAGCAGTTTCAATCAACCAAGCAATTTCACTGAATTCCAGGGAGAAAATGAAACCACTTTAGTCTCTAGAGTCTTGGCCCTGAAAATCACTAAGTTCTCTTCCTTGGCTCCTTGATGTTAAAACATTTATAATCACTTTGGGAGGAAATGTAAAGGTAAACCAGATGATGGAGGAAGGTACCTTTTCTTAGGGTCAATGTCCTGGATTCTTCTACTTCTTAACTCCTCATCCCTCTCATGTATACCTGCCTCTAATTTATTGATTATCCCTCCCAGCTTTTTTAGGCCAAAAAAGGAGATTCCTTTAAAATTCAGGATTATATTATTACAGACGAAAACAGTAACTGAGCTCTCTGTGGATAAGACAGGAAGTTTTTCTTAACTCATTTGGATTTAGTTTATTTTATGAAAGGTGCCAAGCATTTTATTTTTTCAGTAAGAGTTAACTAAATGCATGAAAATGCAAATTATTTTATTATTTAATTCTTTTTATGGTCTTAGAAGGAAGAAAAAAAAATTCCTAGGACCTGAAAAATTCCTGGTGCACGTTAGAAATCTGAACTTGGTTTTCTGTAGGGAATCCTTGCCACTGATAACCAGGGAGGAAATATTCAGGGGGGCCCCTCTTTGGGCTCTGGGAGGTGGCGACTCCCTTACTTTGATAGAAAGTTCTCAAGCTCTATTCCCTCACTTCTCTGTTGGGCTGGTAAACTGAACTTTTCCCTCCCTGACACAGCAAGATCTGTTAGAACAGGTGACAAGAACAGGTTGCCTTTTTTTAGGAAAAATTTTATTTCACCTTTCGATAAATCTAGACAAGCTGGGTGTAGGGTTAAGTCTTTGAAGAACCAAGGCCGAACTTCCAAATGGCTTTCTCACACCGTTAACACCACGTCTAGAACAGTCTTAAAGAAAAATCCTACATCCACTCTTTAAAATTCTATTTACACTCATTACTAAACTCTAGATTCCTTAAGGCTGAGTCTACAGGCTTCGTGGAATATTGGGAGGATTACTGGAAAAAGCATCGCCACTTTTGGGGACAGGTTAAGTGTAGTTCTGTAACTTTCGTAATCTACTTGATGAAGAAAGCAACGTAGCTCCACAGGCACAAAATGGTACCTACAGCCAGTGCCTTGAAATCAGCAACCGAACGAGCTGCCACGTTCTTACTCACTCCGTTCACAAAGAAAACAGCCCTGGTTCACTCACTCCCACTAGATTAAAGCAGACGTCGGGATTACGAAGGTTCTTGCCCAGGCCAACGCGTAAATTGCAATATTATCCGAAAGCCCTTGCAAGATGGCCTGCAATTAACCAGGGAACGTCAGCGGTTCGGCCTGGAAACTGGCTTAGATTTTGGAAATCCCGCCCAGAACTAATGCTCGGTGACCACCCCATAGCAACCAACTCTGGGTAGTCGCAGAAAAGATCAAGCCTTGCCTTTTGGGCCTGTTCCTCAGTTTCCCCATGCACCTCTTTCCCAGGTATGGGAGCTGCCGTGTAAAAAATCTTTATGGCCTCGTAAATGCCAGAAAGAACGAGCCAGCTTTCTGCGGACTCCGCGCACTGACGGGCCTTTCCACGCCTAAACAGTTCCCAGCGCCGAGGCGCGAGCCGGGATCCCAGCAGGGGCCTGGAGCATCACAGTCTCCCTCGCGGATCCGCCGCCGGGCGCACAGGCGCGCGTACCCAGGCGTCACCACCCACGCGGCACGCGGCCGGTCCCCGCGCGTGCCCACTGTGTCGCTCTGGTACTCACCCACGCGCGGCCCTCCTGCACCTCAGCCAGCACTCGAAGGGCGCTGGGCGAGCTCGTGCGGAAGTTGAAGAAGTGCAGCGCCGCGCGCGCCGCCTGCGACAGGAGCCCGTGCGGTAGCTCCGCGTCCTGACGCCACCCGGAGTCCTCGGGCTCCCCGGACCCCGCGGGCGCCGCCGCCGCCCCCTGGAGGGCGAGCAGCAGGAGCAGCGCGAGCAGCGGGGCGGCGGGGTACGGGTCCCCCGGCCGGGGCGCGGGAAGCGGTTGCCGGCGGAGCTGCATGGGCGCGGGCTGGCGCGATGCTCGACGGGTCGGGGCTTCGAGCGAGCTGCGCCGGCGCTCGAGCCAATAAGGCCGCGCGGGCCCCTCCCCTTCGCCCCCGGGGCGGCCGGCTGGAAGTAGTCCGGGTCCCGCTCGGCCGCCCCCTCTCTGCGCTTCCCGCAGCCCCTGGCCTCTCCGCCCCGCCCCACTCCGCTTGGGCTCCCGCTGCCCCGTCTCCGGACGCGGCGGACGCGGCGGCGCCTCCGCGGCGCGGGGCCCGGGTATCTGGCTGGGGCCGCGCGGGCAGGGGGACAAGGGGAGCAGTGGACGCTCCTCCCCCCAAGGGAGAGCGGCCGGGTTGGCGCCACCCCACGCCCCCAACCCAGCTTGGGGACCTGGTTTCTCTCCCCGGAGGCTGCTGTGATTTCGAAGCCCTTAGGGTTTCAGAGCAAACCTGCTTCAGTTCTCCAAGGCTTGGAGCTCATTTACCAGAAGATGAAATTGGAAACGGGTCGAGAAGGGGGCGGGACGCAGCCGGCATTGTTGGGGGTCCTTATAGCACAATGACCTTGGAAGTGGGACAGGTCGCCAGAGAACTGGGGCTGGAGAGGAAGCTGCCGTGGTCAGCAGGGCAGAGCCAGATAAGGCCCCAGAGGCCCCAGTGGACTTAGAAACATTGATAACCCTGGTTCGGCACAGATGGGCGTGGAAGCCAGATTCCAGGGAAGTGAGGCATGGATTGGGCTGTAGGCCAGTGGAAGCAGTGAGGGTTGACGACTCTTTTTAGACGCCTGGCAGTGAAGGGATGAGATGGCCATTGTTTTTAGGCCACAGAGAGAAAGCCCAGGAGAACCAGGAAGTAGATGCACTCCCCTCATCCTTTTTCCCACCTCTCTTTATTTTGTTCAGGGGTCCACCTCTCCCCAACACCCGCTGACCCCAGCCCTACTGTGGAGCGAAAGGAAGTCCCTTCTCCTTGCCAGTGACTGGTTGAGGCCCCGCATGTGCGATTCTGGATGAGATATGCCAGGGGGAAGGCTGGGGGGGGTGATGCGATGGGGTCACCATCTCTGAAAACATCCTCCCCCCCGCCCCACTTCTTCCTCTGGATGTTGTCCGTCTCTTGTCTGTCTTCTACAGAAATTTATGGAACACATACTCTGCTAGGCCCTGGGGGAAGTGAAGAGAGGGTAATCAGAGAAGCATCTCCGTACTCCTGGAGCACACCTTTTGGGCAAGGGGAGCCCAGACAATCAGAGAGGCAAAGGAATGAACCCTATGTTGGATGCAGTTACATGCTGGAGAAAAATTAAGCCTGAAAGGGGATGGGGAGTTGGTTGTAATTTTAAATAGTGTGGTCAAGGCAGGCCTCACTGGGAAGGTGATACTTAGGACCTGAAGGAGGTGAGGGAGCCAGATGGACATGTATGGGAAGAGCACTGTAGGTGGAGGGAACAGCGAGTGCAGAGGCCCTGAGGCAGGAGTCCACCGGCATGTTTGAAGAAGAGCAAGCAAGTGCAGCTGGAGGGAGAAGGCAAGGAGGAAAGTATCAGGATGTGAAGTCTGAGGGATAATGGAGAGGGGGCAGAGCAGGCAGGACTTGGTAGGCCCCTGTTATGTCCGGGTGTGCCGCGTGGAACTATGCCCCTATCTTTTTTTTTTTTTTTTGCGGTACGCCGGCCTCTCACTGCCGTGGCCTCTCCCGTTGCGGAGCACAGGCTCTTGACGCGCAGGCTCAGCGTCCATGGCTCACGGGCCCAGCCGCTCCACAGCATGTGGGATCTTCCCGGACCGGGCCCGAACCCGCGTCCCCTGCATCGGCAGGCAGACTCCGTATGCCCCTATCTTGCTAACAGCCTGGGGATGAAGCCCATCTGAAGAATGGCTGAGCAGAGAGAGGGGAGGAGACTGGGTTCCTGATGACATTGTTGAGCACCCCGGAGCTTATTTATTATGTTCCTTGAAGCTGGAGGTTCTGTTTCTTGCCTTCAGAGGCAGTCTAACGCAGATAATTATCTTCCCAGAACTCAGTCATCTTCCTCTCCAAGGGTAATAGTAGTAGGTTTCTTGAGAATTATCACCTATCACCTCTAGGTCTTATAAAGACTAAGTATTCCTTACTTTATTTCAGTGCTTCAGCCCCAGTGGGTGCTGGGCTGCTTTCAGCTGCAAACAACAGGAAAACTGATTAACGTTGTGGACACTGCAGTGGTGTGGAGTGGGAGGTCTCGGGGATGGTTTGAAGGGCTCAGGCTCTCTCCGTCCTTCTACACAGCTCTCCTCAGCTGTTTGGCTTTTTGTCCATAGACTGACCAGTAGTTCCATAATTACAGAATGGCTGTTACAGCTCCAGACACCACATCGTCACATGCTGCAACCAAAGGCAGGTAGCACAGAGTAGGTGGCCAGGTTTCAAGAGAGCTCTACATCATGCACCTGTTTTGGTTTTGGTTTTGTTTTTTTCATCAGAGAAGAAAAATTTTTTTTCTGGAACCTCTTCCCCCCACCCTTCTCCCCACCCGACCTTCCCATACATCTCGTTGGCCAGAACTGGGTCACACTAGCAAACCCTAGCTGCAAGGGAGGCTGGAAAAGCAAGCATCTGCCGTTTTTTTTTTTTTTGCAGTACACGAGCCTCTCACTGTTGTGGCCTCTCCCCCTGCGGGGGGTAGGCCTCTCCCGTTGCGGAGCACAGGCTCTTGACGCGCAGGCTCAGCGTCCATGGCTCACGGGCCCAGCCGCTCCACAGCATGTGGGATCTTCCCGGACCGGGCCCGAACCCGCGTCCCCTGCATCGGCAGGCAGACTCCGTATGCCCCTATCTTGCTAACAGCCTGGGGATGAAGCCCATCTGAAGAATGGCTGAGCAGAGAGAGGGGAGGAGACTGGGTTCCTGATGACATTGTTGAGCACCCCGGAGCTTATTTATTATGTTCCTTGAAGCTGGAGGTTCTGTTTCTTGCCTTCAGAGGCAGTCTAACGCAGATAATTATCTTCCCAGAACTCAGTCATCTTCCTCTCCAAGGGTAATAGTAGTAGGTTTCTTGAGAATTATCACCTATCACCTCTAGGTCTTATAAAGACTAAGTATTCCTTACTTTATTTCAGTGCTTCAGCCCCAGTGGGTGCTGGGCTGCTTTCAGCTGCAAACAACAGGAAAACTGATTAACGTTGTGGACACTGCAGTGGTGTGGAGTGGGAGGTCTCGGGGATGGTTTGAAGGGCTCAGGCTCTCTCCGTCCTTCTACACAGCTCTCCTCAGCTGTTTGGCTTTTTGTCCATAGACTGACCAGTAGTTCCATAATTACAGAATGGCTGTTACAGCTCCAGACACCACATCGTCACATGCTGCAACCAAAGGCAGGTAGCACAGAGTAGGTGGCCAGGTTTCAAGAGAGCTCTACATCATGCACCTGTTTTGGTTTTGGTTTTGTTTTTTTCATCAGAGAAGAAAAATTTTTTTTCTGGAACCTCTTCCCCCCACCCTTCTCCCCACCCGACCTTCCCATACATCTCGTTGGCCAGAACTGGGTCACACTAGCAAACCCTAGCTGCAAGGGAGGCTGGAAAAGCAAGCATCTGCCGTTTTTTTTTTTTTTGCAGTACACGAGCCTCTCACTGTTGTGGCCTCTCCCACTGCGGAGTGTAGGCTCTGGACGCACAGGCTCAGTGGCCATGGCTCACAGGCCCAGCCGCTCCATGGCATGTGGTATCTTCCTGGACCGAGGCATGAACCCGTGTCCCCTGCATCGGCAGGCGGACCCTCAACCACTGCGCCACCAGGGAAGCCCGCATCTGCCTTTTTTCAGCCTCTATCATAGTGGTCTGGTCTATAAGTTAGGATTTCGGCTTGGCCACATAGGACGAAGGAAACAAATGACATTGGCTTAAACAGGAGAGAAACTTCTCTCTCACATAAAAGAAGTTGTAGGCAATCTGTGGTTAGTTTTGGCAGGTCCATGACATTGTTAGGGGCCCAGGGTTTTTCCAGACCTTTGCTCCCACATCTGAGGGGGTGCCCCCAATCCTCAGAGTTCAGGACAAGCTCTAGCCATCAGCAAGAGTGCCCTTTTACAGGCTTCTGAGAAGTCTATAGGGCACTTCTGCTTATATCTCATTGGCAAGAACTTAGTCATAGCCTTAGTTGAAAAGGAGGCTGGGAAATGTAGCCTTTTTTTGGAGAAGTTGCATGCCAGAATAACAAAAAAGAAAAGTCAGGATTTTGTTACTAAGGAAGAAGACTTTGTTTTACATTTTGCATTTAGAGCCTGCTGCTGGGACACCCGAGGATTATGTGAGAGTGGTTTATGAAGGAAACACTCCCAGGAGAAACCAGTAAGGACCTAGAAAAAGGGTAGCAAGCAAGGATCTCAGACAAAGTTACAAGAAGCGTAACTTCACCTGGTCAGCAGAGGAACTCTGGAATATGAATTCCTCCCCCGGCAAGGGATCTGGGCTTCCATATCTACGCCTGTGGGTTATTGCCTAAGGGCCACCCTGGTTAACATAATCCAGGCACTCAGGCTCTCTATCTGGGTACAAAGGGGCAGTCATACAGGACAGCCCTCCTGAGAAGTGTCGCGGGTACCTCAGATTGGAAGCAAAAGCACACTTAGTGGTAGGGGCAGCATCAGGGAAAGGGATCCCGGGGATCTGGGCAGAGCCCCGATCCCGGGGATCTGGGCAGAGCCCCAATGGGGTCCCTGCAGGGAGAGTGGATAGAAGCAGGCAAGTGGGAATCTGTCACCGAGGCCGGGAGGGGATGGTGGGAATGGCTGATGGCAGCGTCAGTGTTTATGAGATGGTGAGTCACGGAAAGTCATACACAGGAAGAAAGACAGACACAGAAAGGGCCAGGGGAACAAGTGTGACGGCCTGAGTACAGAGGGCTCTTCTGAGGCCACAGCTGTTTTTAATAGTGGTAATGACTACACTTGGGGCAGATTGATGTTGCTCAGAAACACACATTTTAAAAGTTTTTAATTAACAGCATTCATTTAATTAACAGATTTTCTGGAACACAG